TGTTTACATATGCTTGCACCAACCTCAATACCAGAATATGAAAAATATAAGGGATGGGTGAGCAAAACTAGCCTAGTAGAGAAACTTTCTCAAACTCAAACAAGGTTTAGAAATAATTGAAATAAGTAGTTCTCAATTTAAAAAATAACATATATAACATTTGAAGTAAAACATGTGACATTTAATAACGATCTTAAGTTTTTGATACATGTAAGTAAAATTCATCATAACATGGTTCATTCAGTAAACAAAGGTTGATTAGCAAAAATTCATACATCCAATATATATGGTCTACAAAAATCCACCTTTTAATCAATCCCCACATGGCCATAATGTTTTAGGAAGCACGTATACTGATGCATCAATATTTGACGAAATTTTTTTAGGAATAATATACTAACCCTCAGCCTCAAACTCCGTGAACAAATAGCAGATTGGAACTCCATAAGAAACCAACTCCACTATAAGTGATAGGAAACCTTCGAACTCCTCAAGGTAAGAAAAACATCAAAACACTGCGATGTAAGTTCAAATGCAACACAAGTTCATCAAACCCATCATACAAGAGATGTAATTCGTGCATTTTTCAATAAAAAATCACGTGTACCACAAATAACAGTTCCACAATTCTTAAAACAGAGAAAACTTCAATAAAAACATACATGAGATCACCAAGAAACATTATCAATTTGATAATACTCAAGATCTAGAGTTTTCAAATCAAAAATGTATGGTCAGATGTAATTCATGTATTTTTCCAAGAAAATGAATCATATATTTGAAAAGAAATTCAAAATAGTTGTAGATCTATAATATATATACAAATATGAATCAAAAAGTATATAGATATTAGCCCTAGCCTAATTGAATAGGAAATGGAAAGAACCCTACCTTGATTCCGAAAAAAAATTGATCCTAAGGTCTTTTCTATGGTTTCCTACGAGTTGATAGCCTCAAGATCTAGCCCGATCTATTCCTTTTCCTCCTCCTCTTCTCTAAAAGACTTTCCTAAACTCCTTGGGGTTGAAAATGATGTATAGAAAAATGTGTCCCTTTGGTATTTATAGGTCAAAAACCGATCAAAATGGCAAACCTTGAGCAGGATTTAAAAATTATACTTGCATTCGAATGGTGAATCCAAATTTCTTCCCAAACTTCCATCCTAGTTTTGACCTACTTAGAGGCCGATTCACAAAATGTTTATGAAATGAACTTTTGTAGCTCTTGAAGTCTACCTTCTAAAGAAGAAAGAATCAGCTTAATTGGATATCGGAGTAAAATGTTATGACCAAAATACTGCCATAATGTCAAATTCCTTCCAACTCAAATTTTCTAAAAAAATGAGTTTAAGCCCCGAAATACCACCTCAAGGTTTTTCGACACTCCGAATCTGTTTTTATTGCTATGTTAACCTAAAAATATTTAGTTTTTATGAGTTATCTCAAAATCAATGTCAATTTATACCCAAAAGATCAAAATTACCATTCTACCCATTCAAATAGCTACACAAGTCGAATGTCTATCGAAAGGTTTCTCAACCACCCGAATTCAATGGTAATTTTATTTTTGATCTAAATATTTTATAATCTTTACATAGGTGTCCTTGTCAACCTTAAACTCTTTCAAAACTAAATTTGACCCGAAAGTCAATACTTTCAAAACTCAAACTTCACGGCTATTCTTTCAACAATGATTTAAAATTGATACCATCATTTTAATTATTCAATAACAACTCTTTTAGATAATATTATTCATATTTATTTATAGTATAGGGTCTTACAATCCACCCCTTAAAAAAAAATTTTGTCCTCGAAACTTAATCTTCGGCCTAACCTACCTAATTCCAATCGATGACACGGTCTCAACGCTTATTTGTCCTTTAAGCATTAAATCCAAAGTCATTATGGATATCCGTCCCTTCAACTTCTACTCAAAGGGGTCCTATATATATCCGTCATTACTCCTCTACTCAAGTTGTCAACATTCTTTCTCATAAGTTTCATTATTACAATCATCTAAATTTAGTACCAACGATTCACCCATGGTTGATCCATCATTGCAATTTTTACGAGCCTTGAGGGTACTGACGGACACCAGTGACTCCAACATCTAACTCAGACGCTCGTAACAACACCTTCTCAATAGTCACGTCCACTGAAAGGTTAAAGTGAACCTGATTCGAATCGAGTTATCCCAAAAATAAAGTAATAGAAGATAATTAAAAAATATGTCGAGTATGAAAAGAAAAACTATTGGAAGATTCTCGAATGAATTTTTCATTGCCCCAAAAGTTATCTCAACAGCCATTTACACACACATATGACCCTATTCAATTTTTTTTTTCTAGCCGTTTGGCATATGATGACTTTTCGATGGTTTTGCACATGCTGATTTTTTTTTTTTTAAATGGTTTTTATTGTTGAGCCTTGAATAGCCATAAAACCAATTTTAAGGTCAAAAATTATTATTCTTGAAAATACACATTAAATAGGACCAAAAAATTTGTAACTGAAATTCACAAATTAAAATAAAAAATCAATAAAAATTTAAAAAAAATTAATTTTACTCTTACACCTTTCACAGTACTGTAATACTTCAGTCACCCAAATAAAAATACAAAAAACTAAAACAAGCTAGCTTTTTAGTCCCATGAGCACGAGCACGACACGAAGTGGCCAAGTATGAAATAGAATTGATTGATCACAAAACATCACCCACTTTCCTTTAAAGGATATTAATAATGCACCACATGCGTTGCACGTGAATAATTTTTATATACAAAATATTAATAAAAAGTATTAAATATATATGTACCTACATTAAATATCATTTCAAATTTATCAAAATTATATTTTTATTGCTCGTATTATATTATAGAATTTAAAAATATTATTTGTTTCCAACGATTCATTGTTTTAAGTATAAAAAAATAAAAATAATTTATTTGAAATTCATTTGTTATGTTTCAACTTATAATTCATTGAATAAAATAAATATAATTTTTAATATTCTAATCAATGCTTATTATAATTAGTTAGGTTAACTGAGATAAAATATAGGACTAATAATACTTTAGTTCTCTAAAGGTTGCACTTTTTGTCAATTTAGTCATCAGTATATAAATTTTGTCAATTTAGTCTCTAAAATATTTAATTCTTATTTAAATGGTCCGTAACCAGATGGTCCATTAAACTCTTTGACAAAAATAACCACATGTTATTCCGTCAAATAATATCATGCAATCACTTTAATATTTTAAGGACCAAATTGACAAAATTGATACAATGAATATAATATAATATTGACAAAATTGATACTATTCACCTTAAAATATAATATACTACTCTACAATATATATTTTTAAAGAATATTAAAATTCTAAAATTTAAGTTTTACTTAAAAATATAATATAATTTTTTTTATATAAACTCTTAATGAAATATGAAAAACTTACTGTAATTGAAAAATTATACTAATTTAATAAAAACTATTTAAAAAATGTGTAAAAGATTATTTTTTCTTAAAAATTAAATGGTTAAAATTTTGGACGAAAAAAATACACACATACGTATGGATAATGATATCTTTATATTTAAAATGAGTGATATTAAATTAATAAAAAAAATTAAAAAAAAATAATTATTTTATTAAAAGTTATAGTGATGCATATATGTTTTAAAGGTAATATAATCAATTAAAAAATTTCATAAATACTGATATTTATACATAGTAAATAAAAAATTAAAAGAGATATTAGGGGTAATTGAGAGATTTAAACATATAAGTATATGATCACAATTTAAATATTCAAATATTGAAGGATAGTGTGGTATTTAAAATTTTTTATAAGAGTAAAATAATGAATCACAAAATTTTTATACTAAGACAAAAGTTTCATTCTTTATTAGTAATATAAATGAAAGAAAATACATATATATAATTATAATGTTATCTATATATTTAAAAAAAAAATGATTTATTGATGAAATTTTTGAACGTTTTATTAAAAACTATAATGATGCATATATTTTTTTAAGAGTAACATAGTCAATTAATTTTTTTATATAGATATTGATATTTATGCAAAGATAATAGAGAAGTAAAAGAAGTGTTAAGAGGGTAAATAAATTAGAGATTTAAATACATAAAGACGTAATTGTAATTTAGATATTTAACTATATAAGTATAATGTAGTAATTAAAATTCTTTATAAGGGTAAAATAGGGAATCAATAATTTTTTACTTAAGGTATTTTTATTAGTAGTATAGATAATATTCAACAAGTAAAACCAAACAGCATGATTGAACAATCTGATAAGCGCACACGTGTGTGTGTGTGTGTGTGAGAGAGAGAGAGAGGGGGGGGAGGGGAGGAAAGGATTGCAAATTTGCAATTACTTCCTCGAGACCTAGTTCAATTTAAGATGAGTACTCACAACTCCTATCAAATATTGAATTCCAAACATTACTTTATCGTATATCCACTCTACCGTGATGAGTCGAAAGACCCGCAATGGGCTGGCTTCAAGTCATTCACTCGAAGTGCAGTATACAGAACCAAACACATGAAATATGGATTATGCCTAGCTTTATATAGTAGCTAGTAGAACCTCTCGGAATATATATAAATTGTATTGAAGTCAGGAGAACTATCAAAAAAGGCAAAAATTGGAAAACATACCAAATGACTACAAGGATACCACATGGAGCTCGTTTTATTTCCACGGAAAAATTAATCTTGATCACTTTTTTTTTTTGCCAGAATCTTGATCACTTCACAAGTGTGGTTTTTGCTATACCCACACATACAAATCTACATAACTTTCAACATCATATCCACTGGAATGGCTTGCCCCAGAAAGTTCTCATCACCATTAACACTTCCATTGCCACATGTGAGCTCATCCCATGCTTACTTTGTCTACAAAAAAGCTTTCATGTTGGTACTTGGTGGTACAACATTCAAAAGGCATAACCAATCATCCCCCGGGGAACGGCAGACCAGGATTCTTGGCAAATTTGAGAATGTTGCTAGACACAGCAACTGATGATTATCCGGATTTACAAGCAATAAACAATTCTGATCATGACAATCAGCAACAGAAAGGTCACTCCCAGGTATTTACATGCAAAAAATCCATAATCATTGGCTGGTTCAACCCTACAATCATCAAAACCAACAAAAAACATTGCTCAACTAAAGCTTTCTGTTTTTGCTCACAAATAGGAGTCAGCATGCAAAAAAGGTTTATGGCAGGTGTCACCATCATAAAGTGGAATGATATAGCACAACAGAGACATGGACGCCCAAACATAAGACTACTGTCCTCATGTAACAGTTGGACACTAACAAGTGGAAGCCTACGATTAAACATCAATTAGGAAAACCAATTTTATTATTTGAACATTTTTCACCTATTTCTGCTATTTAAAATTGTTCCATGGAAACAAGTTTCAGAGCCATGAAATTGCTTTAAAATATGCACAAAAGCAAACATACAGGAGCACAAAACACACACTTAAACCAAATTAAATGGGTACTCTACCTCCTAGATGTCATGAAGTCACCTTTCCTTCACCATTTGATAGTTGAGGACAAGGTCCTCAGATTTCTTCCATATGTAAGTGCGGACAGTGGCTAAGCTCATGTCAGGTGATAAGACCTGGAAAAAGAATTATGGCGATTCCTTTTATTGAAAAAGTTCAAACAGAAACTTGCATTTGGGAAAGTAAAAGAAAGCTCATTGAGCCAACACCATTTCCACTGAACAATTTTCACTTGACAGAACTGCAAGAAACGTTTGATGGAGGAAGATAACAAGTCAATTTCTACATTTACAAGGCTATTCACCAGTGCTTTGAACTTGTATCGAGAAGAAACTGTGACAAACTCACGAAGGATAATAAAAAGAAAATGTTTTTGGATTTGTATCCAACTTAGTAACATTCCAAAATTACTAAAAATGAAAAAAAAAAAATGATTCTAGTAAGTCAAAACAGATAGTTGATATAGGAATTGCAAATTTTCATCTTCTATTTTGGTTTTTTGATTAGTAAAAGCACATTAATGGATGCTAAGGGACAGTAATTTCACTGATTCACATTTTGTACGTCTGCAAGGAAGACTGGTCAACATGCCTGATTATTGCACAAGATCTCTATAGAAGGCTTAAGCTTTTGCCAAGGCTGCAAATCAGAGCGGAAAGAATCATCTCCTCCGACAGCTAAAAGCTGTAACTGGCCTCCAGGCAGTCCAGAAGCAAAAGTTCCATCAGAATTCGTACTATCCAATGGCTTGTCGAGAACCATCTTTTCAACAACATAGTTAACAACCTATAACAAATTACAGCAACCTTTTAGACTGGAAGATATATGCTCTAAATTCTTAATTCATATAAATGAAACATATCTTAAAATTACAATAAAAACTGCTCCCCCAGATGAATGCTGAACTTAAGTGGGAAAACTAGGCCCATCAAGGGGATATTTCCTCTAAATTGAAGGTTCCCACTCTTTTTCTCTTGATTCCCATTTGTATTGTGCTTTATTGACATACCACACTTGCACTAAAGACACAAACAATTCCTTACAAAGCAAAACAACTTTAGAGAGTAGAACTTTCAATGGAAAACCCACCTAGTAATGTTTAGTGGTCCCCTCCTTTCAGGAAGAGTGCATACATTATTTGGAAAGAAATTATGTATCTCACAGCTCAAAGCGAAAAACTATAACCTTTTAAATCAAATCCTTACTTTATGTATTCTCAATATTCGAGGCGCACTCAACTTTCCTTGAGTAAGGATCTGGACAGCTGAACCTTCACAGGGATGTAAATAAAAGCTGCATCTGCAGACATTAATCACATTCGTATGAGAAAAAAGCCCTTTTATAAGATCTACAAAAACAGGAAAATTAATTCAACCCTCTAGCATTGAGCATTTATGCAGTTAATAAATGAATAACTGGTTGACAATTTGTTCATAACCACGCAAGGTGAAAACTTAGCAATTTAAAAGTTTTATAAAACCACAAAGCACAAACAACCTATTTGACAACAATACAAATGTTTTTCCAGAAGGTATTTGTTAAGAGTATCAATAATAAGGGTAGTTTAGGGATTCGCTTTATCATCTGTTGCCATACTCTCTTCTTTTCTTTTCTCTATCTTTCTTGTTTCTTTAATCATATCTAACATGGTTTTAGAGCAAGTTATGAACCCTAAATTTAAATAACAAGTCATAGAAGTTGGCAGGGAATTTATAGAGGTTAGTGGAGAATTTTCCGGCAAAAAACAGTGGTTGACATCATCATTGACGATGATGATGTCATCAATTTGCAACAGTGGAGCTCACCATCTTGACCATAATTTCATGGGCTTTTCAATGGTGCGCCTTATTTTGATTTCGAACTCATTTGGTAGGTGTTTTGATTTTTCGAATATTTTGGAGAAAATACGTCGAATTTTTTCGATGTGTAAATCTGAGGACTTTTCTTCAAAAATTTTGGTTCTAATCTGATCTAAGGGTGTCGACTAAGCTTGTTTGATAACCTATTGCGTGATTCGAAGTTGTTAGAGGTAGTGTTTTAAAATCTAGCTCAGCGGGTTGACCCGGTGAACCTGCGAACCGGACTCCAAACCAGGCTGGTTACTTAATTAGATTGGTTAAGCATGGAAACTGTTAATGACCCACTAAACCAGCCGGTTTTTAACGAAACCATTCAAACCAGACGGGTTATGCCAAACCAGGCGGGTATTTTAAAATGATATAAAAACCAAACTTTGGGCATTTTTGCCCTAATTGCTTTGCCTCTTCTGAAACAAAGACAGCCGAACTCTCTTGAACCCTTGGTTCCTCGACGAAGAATGCCAACCAACCTCTCTCTCTCTACCCTGCAAGCTTGCGATCAGTGGTCATGGTAGCTTGGTAGGTAGGAACAACGAACATACAAAGGCAGAAAAAGCGAAGAAACTGCAACCTGCTGCAATTCTTCACCTCCTTCATTGACGATTTGGCTTCTCACTTAGTTGAGTATACGCATTTCCTCCACTTAACACTCCAACACATACATCTCTCTCTCTCTCTCTCTCCCTCTCTCTCTCTGCTTGTCTAATGTTTCACATTTGTTGTGTATAAATTTTGGGTCAATTTGAATATTGATTATCACATTTCCAATTTCAGATTTTTGGCCTATTTTGATATAACCGTCACCACACTTACACTTTCAAGGTTTTTTTTTTTGTAAGTCTTACACTTTCAAGTTACAAACAGTAAAATTGAGAAACTTTAGTGGCCCTCCAGATTTAAGATCATGATTCAAATAAACAAGAATTGAGCTTAAAATTAGATCCAACATACATTTCAAAACATGTTTTGTACTGACCCATTGAGAAATAAACCACTGTTGGATTGTTTTAGATAGTAAGAAATGGGTTAGATAATAAGAAATGTTTATATCCATTATTAAGAAATGTTTTGTACAATGTTTGCTAAATTTTGAAAACTGGTTGGCAGATTAATTGTGTTAGATTAATCTACATGCTAACAAGCAATTCTAATTGGATTTGATGTTACCTAATCTGCAATAAACCTAAGCCACTGTTGTCATAGATGTATTTTTCTCTACTTAAAATTTACAAGTTATATTGAAAATTGAATGCATTGGATACATGTTTGATGATTTTAGATTTTTTGTTTGATGTAATATACATTAACCATATTAGTTTAATAATTAGTTCAATTTTTTAGCCTATTTATTATCATTAATATTTATTTTTTATTTTTTTATTATATTACCGGTCCAACCAATGACCCATTGACTCAGTCCCTTTTCCGGATTTATGGCCGAGCCGGGTTTTAAAACTATGGTTAGAGGTGATTGGTTTGGTTCGTTGCTCATCTAAGGCTCAACTGGACTGGTTTTTTGCCCTTCTATTCTTTGGCAGTTTTGGAATATTCTTCTCTTGCCTACTACTGATTTCAGGTAAACCGATTTGTTAATGGCAACTTGTGTTGGTTGTTGGTGTCACGATCCACTTCACGTTGCCGCTGCTAGTTTGTACGCTTTTTTTCTTGGTTGGTGCTTTGGGTTCTGTTGGGATTTATTGTGAGCTGTTTTATTGGATTTTTGTTGTGTGCTTACTAGACAATAACAGGTGCTGGGTTTGGATTAATTTTTTGTAAGCCTTTGTTATGAGTATTTTGCTGGTTTTGTGTTGTGGGCTTACTGGAAAATAATAGGTATTGAGTTTTTGGGCCTTGCTTTTATTGGGCTTTTGTGATGCTATTGTGCTAGGCTCCTTTACTTTGCCGAATCATTTGTTCTAGTTTGGCCCTTCTTCTTGTTTGGGTTCTTTATTTGCTATTTGAGCCTTAATTTGTTGGGCCTTCATTTAGTGTTTGCTAAGTCTTATTCTGAAATTTATTTATCTTTCTCCTGCCTTTGGTGTGGCTGCTGGGATTTGACGGGTTACTGGTTTGATTTGTTGGCTCTTTGATAGCTGAATGCTTATGTTAGAGTTTGGGCTATTGCTTTCCAATAGGTTTGTTTTCTTTGGATTTTGTTGGTTGCTAGCACTGGGATTAGGTTTTGTGTTCTGGATTTAATTCAAGTGATTTGATTGTTGTCATTCGATTTTCGTTTACGAAAATTATGACAAGTGAAAAATCTGACTCTCATCAGTCTACTAGCCTAAAATTTACTATGATTGACGATCAATTGGAGAAGCTTCTTCAGCATTCTAATATTCTCTTAGTCTCTCCTTTCATAGGTTTATTCACTTTTAGTCTTACTGGTATCTCAAACAGTTTGGGTCTTTGACTCAGGTGTAACACATTACATGACCAGCGATTCTTCCTTATTTTTCTCTACCTTTTCTCCTCCCTCTGTATCTGTGCTTGCAACCAATGATATTCAAATGTCTTTTGCTGGTATGGATCTATTATTTCTATGCAACTAACACTTTCAGATGCTTATTATATTCTATAGCATACCTTAAATTTAATTCACTTTTCAGATCTTTCAGGTGTGGACCTATTTGACTCTGAATTTTTAGTTCACTTTTCTTCTTCTAATTGTGTTGTGTAGGATCTACATTCTAAAAAGATCATTGCGATAAGCAGTAGAAAATGGAGGATCGTATGTATTAGGCGAGTTGGATGTTCTAAATATTGTCGTATCTAATGTTGATTTGCTTTCTTTTTATTTGAATTCACAGCTTTCTAATTTTTATTTGTGGCATTCCCGTCTTGGTCATGTTTCTCATTCTCTTTT